AATTGCATTCACAGTCCAGAGTTTTACTTTAGAATGAGTAATCATGCTGTGATTGTTTATCACAGGCACATCTTGAGTATTTCCATGTATCCATTTTTAGGGCAACAACTGGACAGAACATATGTGAATAGAGAGCTTGGAGTTCACATCAAAGCTCAACTCTGTCCTCGGGAGGTGAGTGAGGAGAGCAGAAGCAACTCAAATGCTAAAATAAGCTGATGCCTTGAAACAGGCCAGGGCAAGATGGAAATTGGGGCAGGAGGGTAGCAGTGGCTAGAGTGACCCATTCTTGCTATTTTTAAACATGTGGCTTCCGGTGGGGAAGGAGGAAGAAAGATGGCAGGATGAGTGACCAGCTGGTAGAAGCCTAAGTTTTAATGATTTTCCAAAGTGACTTTGGATTGCTGCAGAGAATTGAACCTGAGCTGATCTGCATCTACCAGTCGATGCAGTTCCAGAAATGTCTACCGCAGTCCTGCTGGGTTTTCACCCATGCACCACAGCAGCCCTGAGCTGTATTTCTGAAAGACAGTCTGGGCTATTTTTAAAAAGGCTTTAAGGAGTTCTCCTTTTAGAAACATAAAAATGCAGGTGTTGTACCCAAGCTTCATATAGAACCAGTAATGGCTAATGGCAAAGATGTGTGAAGAATACAAGGGGAGCATATATTTAGTTTAGAAAATGGTTCATTAAGAAAAACAAAATCTCTAGATTCCTGTCTAAACATTGTGTCAGAATGAGTTTCCACTCAGTGGCATTTGGTACATATAAAAGCAAATGTGTGACCTCACACATTCCTGGCTAAGGCACCAGAAGTTTTCTTTGCTCAATTCAGTCTGTTCAGAGAAAGAAACTGTGAAATGACTCAAAATTCTGCTACCCAGATGCTTAACAGAAGAAATCATTAAGGAGAAATAAAGCTTATTCAAGCAAACCAACCAAACCCATTGACACGGAGTCTATTCTGACACACAGAGGCCTGTAGGACAGAGTAGAACTGACCCATAGGGTTTTCAAGGCTATAATCTGAATGGAGATATCCTGGTGTGGCACAGTTGGATAAGCACCACAAGGTCAGCAGTTCAAACTCACCAGCCATTCCTTGGAAACCCTATATAAGGTCGCTACAGTTCAGAACCTACTCAATGGCACTTACCAACAACAAGGCTGTCATAGCTTTCTCCTGTTGAGCAGCTGCCTGCTGCGTTTGAACCAACAAACGTTTAGATCTTAAACTCTAAACCATCAGACGTCCTTACTCCCAAAGCAAAATAAACTGGGCATTTTTTGAAATATTTGGTAAACATATTATGCTCATTACAGGTAGTAGCTATAGAATTTGACCATTATACATTTATATTTGAATTATCTTTGTATTTTATCTTTTGCTAATACTTGAATTACATACTCTTGCCATCTCATTTAAGATAATTTATTTCATTTAGTGTGTGAACAAAATTACCATAAATGAATAATAACTGATGGTCTACACAGTCAACATTATTGAGCTAGACAATTAATTAAGTAGGACTATGCAAAAGTTTGAAGAGGATTTAAAGGACATAGTCATTTTGGGGGACCAAACTTTGACATGGAAAAGTTATTTTTCCATATAAGAAACACTTAATCTCTGTAAAGCTCATATATATATATATATATACATTTACTTTTTAAAGTTTGTGAAAAAATGGAATTAAAAGATACTGTTTTTTCCAACAAGACTTTTGAAGCCATAGATACTTATTTGGCTTCAAATATCTATTAATAATGATTTAATATGCTTTCATTTTAAAATGTCAGTCTGAAAGTTTAAAAAAAATACATTTTTCATTTAGAAAATTTCATGAGCCTGTCCAAAAATCAAGTATTAACAGGCAGATCCCCCTATTAAAGGACTCAAAGTGAAGTCAGACATAGGAAACCTGAGTCCGCAGTAAAGAATATTTATTTTCAGAATTTCCAATTTGTATGATAAACATAGCTAATCCCCTTTGGATTCTCCAGTTACTCTCTGTCGAGGGTTTGATAGCAAATTGAAAATGAAACCTTAAGAATTAAAATAGAAATAGAAAATCAAACTTTGTTCCTTTGTACTTGACGATGTCTTTTGAATCCTAATACTTTAAATTCTCTGTTATCTGTATATTTAGAAACCAATCAAATTTATTATCACAATGGCAGTGCTGTGCTCTCAAAATCATACAAGAAGGATTGAATCATGATTTTGTTGTCCTCTTTAAAAGAAAACAAAACTTTTTCTTTTGATTTGAGTGCAAGTTTACAGAACAAATTGGTTTCCATTCAACAATTCATATACATTTTGTCCATGTTTTAAATTTTAACTGATCATCTTTTTTTAAAATTTTTTGGAAATTGGTAATTTACAATATGGTGGAGATGCCATTTTCTGACCAAGAAGTTATTACTTTGTAAATCCATTGTATCTTTCAAGTATATCCAATAACAGAGTATTTAGAGTATTTGGGAAGTCACTGAAAAATTTAAAAACTCATATCAGCTGACTACCATCTTTACCTCCAATACAAACTAGTATGGCATTTTTTGCTTACACAGTACTTATTTGGACTTTTAACATGGTAATTTAGGGATCAAGTTGAGAAATAATTTAGAATTTCCATGATTGAAGACTGATTGGACCTGTTGGGTTTTGTGCTGAATGACATTATTGTATTATCATTGAATCAAAGGTATAGTTCTACTGGGCAATTCAATTTCCAAAGATTATCATATAAAATATTGGAATTAATGAAGCTAGAAACTCATGGTTCTGTATGAAACAAAGAGTTTGCCAAAATCATCAGTTTTCCATCTAAAATTGGGGTGGAATGCTTTCACTGTGTGCTGAGAACAACATCTTCCTGGGCCTTCACTGGTGGCTACATCATCTTCCCACATTCAACCAAAAGATTATTTTTGACTGGAAGTTTTGCTTGAAGGATCAAGTCATAAAGTACTATGAAAGTACGTCTACTGATAAAAATTATTTAAATTTCAAAAAATTGCTCTGGGGCTTTGTACCAAAAGAAGTCTTGAAGGTTGAGCCCAGTACCCCTTTCTGCAAATATCATCATGGGGCAGTCTCTGTGTTATGTACTCATTACAAGTGGTGACAATGGAGTTAGCCAGTCCAAATAACTGAATGATTAAATTAAGCTGACTTTCCCCCCATCTCTTTTTGGTGACTTGACAAATATTGGATTTATCAGTTGGGTTAAAATAAAACCAGGGAAGGCAGTTTAAGACATCTTTCACTGTGGTCAGGTTGGTCATGATGGATGGATGGAAGTAAGCATTTACATCTTTGATTTCCTGGGAAACATTGGCCAGTCTCAACAAGCCCTTTCTAGGTAAGCGAATTCTGTCTTCACCTGATATTCTGATAGCACCCCTGGCCAGGTTCCTGGGGCACCAACACTGCAAAGTCAAGTGATCTCGTAAGAAACAAGTGCTTTTAATCTGCAGTGGCAGGCAGATGGGATTTGTGGACTAGACTCTGCCATCCCAAGTAATTCTGATGCTTAAAGTATGATGCTGAAACAATTCCAGGTCTATAAAAAAAGTGATGATACTATATGTATACCCTATAGTTTTTATTACAAAAATATTGAAATAATCCATGAGTTATTCCACTCTGCACCAACTATAAAAAAATACTATCAAAGTTGACCGGCACTTTTAATGCAACAAAAAGCACCATGACGGGAGGACACAGAACAGAAAGCAGGGTGATGTTTACTTGCCGTACGGAGGTATTTGAAACCCAGAAGCTTGTAAGAGTGCAATTTTACAAATAATTCAAATACGTACACATTTGAGCAGGATACAGTTCAAAAGAGTGTTCTCATAGCATATTTCAATGCATTTGTCTGCTCATACTTACTAATATGTGTCCCAAAGCCTCTAAAAGACACATCAGGTTGACTGTGGATACGGGGAAATGTCTGTGTTCAGTGGAGAACTTGATTGTTCATTCTCACATCTGCTTCTGTGAGGCTTAGTCCTTTTGGCTTCTGTATCTATCTTGCAGGTGCTCAGTGTTTGGCACTAGAAAGGTATGGTAATGTGTTCTCTTATACCGCCTGCCTGTGTTCCCACAGAGCTATGCATCCAGCATCCCAAACTGGATCCTGCTCCAGTTGGGTCCATCCTGTGGCTCTGACCTGTCTTTCCAATGGGAGCTGCCCAAGCACAGAATCAGACTCTCTTTCTGCCATTTCCCCACTCCCTCTTTATGCATTTATTAAATTTTTATAACTGAATACTGACTGAGTCATGATTATCATTTCATTTACATCATTAAATTGGCAAGCTCCTTGGTCTTATTGAAAGCCATAAATGTGCTGCATAGGATTTCTGTCATAAAGGATGATCCCAACTGAAAATGTGAACTAAAATATAAATCCTGAAATGTGTAGAAAACTAACCATTCCCTCAATTCGAATACATGTGTAAACACACTTGAGTTTGCTGTCCATCGGGTAGACTTTTCACACATGGAATTGTTTCCAAATGAGAAAATATTTTATGAATTCTTTATAAGCAGTACTTTTTTTTTTTTTTTTCTGGAGTCTTGAGTGATATATTTTCTCTCTCCCTCTGTCTGTGTTCCAGAGCCTTGCATCAAGAAAAACCACCTAAGCTACTTTGACAGAGGACTGTTTGTGTGTGTGTGTGTATGTATGACTGAATATCTTTTTATTTAAAGATCAGTTGAAAGACTGTGCAGGAGAAGTTTGGTAGCAACAAGGAGTCCTATGCTGGGTTGTTTTGTCAGGTGGAGTAGCTGAGGCTCTTAGCACTGCTGTTTGGACAGGAGAGCAGCAAAAGCCAGTCAGCTTCAATGGATCACACCAGTCATGATGACAGCTAGACTGAGACTGTCACAGCTGGTTGCCCTACTCTCTGATGAAGTTTCATTATTGCCACAGCCCGCTGTCATTCTTTTACTGGACTTGGTGGCTCCTACAAGTTATTCTTCTCTATAAAGTGGTTTCATACTCCAACCGCTCCTGAATAAGGGCATCATCTTTGTACTGCAACCTTGGAGGAGACGGGGAACATTCGAAAGCTAAAATGGCCTTTCGTAGGCTTCGGTCCAAAACATGCCTCTCCCATGCGGGATACCTGTTTCTGAACAGGTCAATCTTAATGACTGATTCTTCGATTCGCGGGAGGCGAGATGATGGTGTGGATGGCGCTGTCGGCCTCACCTGAAAGACAGGTGCACACCCATCCCGCTCTGCAAATTTCTGATCCCGGTCACTGGCCACACTACGGTTGTTAGAGATGGACCGTAGAGTGCTTGTGGCCACTTCTGAAGGCAGAGTGAAGGCAGCTACTGGGTCCTCACAAGCACAGCTTGGTGACTGCCCAAACCTGGGTCCATTGGGGTGAAAGAAGGCATAATACATCAGCATAAAAACAACACCAGTTAAAAAGCTGCTGAATACCACACACAGGGCAGGGATGGCAAATGCATCTGCAATCTGGGGAGCCTTGTAGAGGTACCAGAGGGCACTCAAGGCTGTGTTTTCCAGAAGGATCACAAAATAGTAAATGAAGAGCCTGCAGCGTGTCCGACCTTCCTTAACATTGAACCAACTGAAGATGTAGATGATCCCCACCACCATATCGAACACAATTTCTTCCCATTTGGTGATACAGAATTCTGTCTCACAGTGGACGATCCAGAAGGTCATGATGCACCAGTGCAGGACAATGAAGATCCCAAAGTACAGCTGGAACACCGAGGCAAAGAGAGCAAATGTGATGACTCTGGCTGCAATGGTGAAGAAGTGCCAGCAAAATTGAATGATGACCGCCATGTAGCTGATGGGCTTCTTGTCATCGCGAGAGTCCCGGAGAGCCTTCTGGTAAGAAGCCAAGGCCCAAGCCAAAGACACAAGGGAGGCTGCTGCTGTGAAACCTGTAAAGGGAAACACGAAGAAATTCTGTCAAAAATTATACGTAGTGGGGTCCCCAGAAAGCAAGTAAAGTGGAATTGGGAACTTTGGACAGGCTTGCTGTAGCCTCAGGGAATGCTCAGACATGTATTGAACAAAACACTCAAGGTCCTAACCAGACAAAGATGTCATGGAGCTAATGGGAATACCACATGGAACCATTGTGGGATCTGAAGAAAGGGGGTGGGACTTTAACTGTGTGCATTTGGTGTGAATACATGAAGGAGGGGGTTTTGTATGTTGTTGTTAAGTGCTGTCGAGTAGGTTCCGACCCATAGTGACCTTGTATAGGGTTTCCAAGGAGCAGCTTGAACCACAGGCCTCCCTGTTCAAGTGGACTTTGCAGTCCAGTTCATTAACCAACAGCGCCACACCAGTAGTCTGGGTTATCGAACAGAGTTGTTGTTCTAAGTTTGCCACTTATTAAATGATGATTTCCAAAGTTCCCTGCCAGCTTTGAAATTCAGTGACCAAAAGGAATAAATAACTACAGGAATCCTGATGGGTTAGCTGGTCTACCTGTCTGCTTCTAAGCAAGATTAAATATAATTTATTCACAAAAAAGGTGTCTACATAATATGCTTGAAAAGTTTCTTGTATTCTCAGTGTGCAGTTTGTCCTAATATCACCCAGCACTCTATCTACAGCTTTTGTGTGTCCTGTACTGTTCCTTAATACCTGATCCTTAGAAGAAGTAGGGACACTCTACCGTTCATCTTATTCTTTCTTCAATGGCAGGTTGCACTGATATAACTTCAAAGAGACTCAATGCACTACGAGCTTGCATTCGGGAACTTTATCAAGAGTTACTAAGGTGAAGAATGCTCTGGTGTGCTTTAAGGCCTGGATCTACTTTAATCATAACCAAGGTATACTATAGTTTTTCTCCCCCTTTGTAAATACCAGCAGTTGTGATGATTGCCAAGTGCTTATGATGGGAGTACTACGTTTCCCTTTTGATAGGGAGAAGTTGTCACCTACGAAGCTTGGAAAATTAATTTAAAAAAAGATTCTTGTGGAAAAAGGCCACACTAATTAATTGAAAACACCATAAATCTCAGTGATCACTTTTTATATATTATCTCTTTGAATAAGGTGAATGCAAAAAAAATAATTACTAGAAAGAAAATATTTTCCATCAGCCATTTCTCATAGCGAATTCCAATAAAGTCAGCAGGACACCTGGGCATCTTACATGAGCGCTTCAGTTTTTGATTGGCCAGTACACAAATCGGCCTTTACTACAAATCACAGTCAACATTTCTAGGTCAGCTAGAGAACAGTAAACAAATGAGTTTATGGTAATATAATTCCTTTGTGGCAGAAAATAGTTACATCAATTATAAAACTCAGAAGCGAAATAAGAAGGAAAACTCTTTTTAAATGAAGGAAGAAGGCAACGGGAGGATGGGAAGCAAAAGTTGATGGAGTTATGACTCTGAGCATGATTTATTATAAATTTAGGATATAGGAACAAAAGCTTCTACCATTTCTATTTCAGTACCTTTGTGTGGCATGGAGGCCCCTCATGATCTCATTTCCTAGATGTACCATTTTCAAGTGTATAGATTCTTCACTGGACAGCTCTTTTTATGCTTTTCAGCTGTCCCCAAGTGCCCTTTCACTGCAGGAAGGTCCCTCCCACTTACACATAGCAGCTTGGTCCTTCCAGATGCTGCTCTGCACAGCACTGCTTTCTGGATGAGGTTCGCACTGTTGACCAGACTCATGCAAATAACACCAATGGCCAGATGACATGAGCAGGATAGTCAGAACAGCTATTCCAATTTGCAAAGGACAATGCTATTGAAGACTGTTTTCCAAAGCAAGTGAAACAATAATTTCAAAACCTCAAGTACACAGTGTCATAAAATCATCTTTTTTCACATGAAAAAGTTAGAACATTAGCTTTGTCCAAATTGCCCACTAATCTTTACCCCTTCTGTTGCATGTCCTAAAAGAGTGATTCAGCCTATCTTACATACTCCAGAAACTTGGTATGGCAATATTCTGGCAGCAAAAATGATTTTCTATTAGTTTTGCTTTCTATATATCTTGTTGTTGTTGTTATGTGATGTGGAGTTGGTTCTGACTCATAGCGACCCTGCACAGGGTTTCTGAGGCTGTAAATCTTTACGGGAGCAGAAAGCCTCATCTTTCTTCCTCGGAACAACTGATAGTTTTGAACTGCTGACCATGAGATTAGCAGCCCAATTCATAACCACTACGCTACCAGAGCTCTTTTTCTATATATCTTACAGTGGAAAAAATCTTTACTAAATAAAATGTCATGTCCATAATGACTGTTCTCTTTATGATTTATTTATTTTTTTTGCTTTTGCATTATTTAGAATACCGCTTGTTAATTTGATTATTGCTTGTTCTTGTTCCGGTTAGCAATTAATCTTTGTTAGACAAATATATGCCTGAGTTGAAACTACGGGATCATCTTAAAGTTAAATTAGTCCTTTAGCACTCCTCATTACAAACTTACACCTGCCAGGAAACATGGAGTTCTTTAGCTTTTTAAGCAAACAATCCCAGTTCAGTTATTT